ACCCTCATCTCGCGAACACCTGGCTTGCCTTTGTTTAACTGTCCTTTCATTGTATTTTGGAGAGGGATGAGTCATTTGTGGAAAATTTCGTTTTTTAGTTGGAAGGTTTTTTTTATCTGAAGAAAAATGTTGAACAAAAGTAATGGTCCTTGAAAATTTCTTCATTTCAAGCGTTATTTACAAGTCTCCAGAAGCAAAAGGAGAAAGCTGATGATTGCCATTTGCGAAAGCCTCTTCTCCGGTGATAAATGAATGACTATAAAGCACCGAGCAAGCATTTTCAATAAAAGCCTACAAAAGAGCACAAGAGAGTGGGAAAAGAAAAAAAGCAAAAAAGATTTTCAAAAAAAAAAAGTTCAAAAAATGAAGGACTGATTGTATACTGTTGGGTACATCGTTCGATTGGTTCATATTTGCGTTGTTCCTCGCTACTGGTGCAGCTGGCAACACTTCATTCTTCACTTTTTTGAGCCTCTCTCATCCACATAATTCCATACAGCTGTTCGAGCGCATCCTTCCATTGCGTTAACGGCTTTCCCTGTGTTCTAATTACACAAAATTGACGGGTTATATCCAGTTTGAGGATTTGTGCTGTGACTGTTGCTACGTCATCTGGTGGTGGACGACCTTCTGGTCATCGTGGCATTCGCTGGGACGAAGAAACTGAGATCTCAGTTTCTTCGTTCCTGGAAAAAATATATAAGAATTTAGGCTGATCGGTCCATCTGAATTTTGCTTATACGATGTGAACCCGTGCCCCTCACTTCACGTTATCGATGCATTTACTGGACTCTGTAGTCCCTGGAAGAGAATTGGGAGGAAGAACTGGCTGTTTTGTGCAAGGTCATTGTCGTCGGTTAAAAAAAAAGCGCTATTATACAGGAATTACTGAAAATGATGCCCCTCAAAAAAGGGTTAAATGGTGAGGGAAGGGGGACGGAGCAGAGGGAGGAGAAGAGTTAGGAAGGACAGGGCTTACAAAAGAGTGCACTTCCGTTATTACAAATCTTCACATCATGGATGTAAGAGTTTGCAAATTTTACACTCGCTCCGATCCTCATCATCCGGACACATTCACATAAATTCAAGAAGCATATAGGCATTTAGTCTGCAGTACTAGAATAGAGGGTCTAGACTAAGTGTCATGTATAAGAAGACATTTTACGATGCACTGTGTTTCATCCCTTAGCTGTAAACACAGACCGAACTTTGCATGCGGGTAGGAGCGGGAGTCATCAGTACAGCCTTCTACCAGCCATGTACTGAACAGTCATGCAGCTAATTTGCAGGGTATACGAAAGAAAGAGTAAACATAGAGAGAACAAAGAGAATGAGAGAAAAGAGGAAGGTGAGAAATTTAACCCATAACTATGCAAAAGACGGGGGAGAAGCAAACTGAGAGCGATGAATTTAAAAAATTTTGCAGTGCTGAACGAAGTGCCAAGTAATAAAATGAAAGAGAAGCAGCACGACAAATCGATGGTGATGAGCCCAACAGTGAGGGACGAGAAGCGGCAGCAGCAGCTGAGGGATCGAGAAATGCGTGAGGCACACATCGAGAAACAAATGTGCTCGGCAGCTGCCGCAAAATCAAAAGATTTGAGAGTTGGTGAAATTTGTGATTTCAGTCTAGTCTTTGCTTCTTCTCAGTGATTCCTAAAATTTTCAAGAATTTGAGAGGGTTTTTTTACCGGTATTGTATAAAAATTGGTCTGTTGCGCGTCTTCAGTTTTATGATATTTCAAAAAAATTTTCCACCAAAATTGTTGTTTTTATTGCTCAGATAAGATCCCATCCCTCATTGCGCTCAAATTCTGATGGGTCTGCAGTTTTTCCAGCGCAGCAAAGCCCCACCACTATAGAAAAACGGATATTTCTGCGTGAAATTTGTGATAGGCTATGGGTCGTTCGTTATCAGCCTAGTTCTAGGTTTAGAGCGGTGTAATATTTCAGGATAGGCATCATCAGTTTAGATTTAGAGTCTCTCACTGTATAAAATGGGCTTCAGGATAGGTATTATTCAATGTAGCCCCTTTTTTTACGGGTTTTCTTGTCAGTTACAGAATTTTTTTTTTTTTTTGGACCTTCTTTCCCAGAGCAAGAAAATAGTGTTTACGAGGGTAGCAATGAACGGAGGGGCGAATTTTACAGCCGACAGTTGCGGATTTTTCAACCCACAGGACGGATTTTGCTGTCCTCAGAGGCAAATTTTATGAACCATGGAGGTGAATTTTGTAACCCCGCAAGGATAAATTTTACCAATCTGCAGATGCGAATTGCGCGACCCGAAATCAACATTATTACCTCAAAAAAGACTCATTTGTCATTCTTAATTAGTGCTAGTACTTTTATCGATTGAAAAAAAAATCGGTTGAAAAAATCGGTTGAACAAAAAAGATTTCGTGACTTTTTCCTTCGTTCAGGTAATGCCATCAACGTCCACGGCACCATTAGCAGCATTTTCAAGTATTGGTCAAACGAATGCTAACTTAATTGCCACTAGTACTGCTGCTGGTGCAGGTGGTGGTGGTGGTGGTGGTGCTGGTAGTTTGGGAACGACACCGAATGCTTCACCTCTATTAGCCAGCAATCGTCAGCAGTTTCATCCAGCAGCAGCAGCGGCAGCAGCAGCAGTAGCCGGACAACCACCACCAACTGCAGCATTTGTGCATCATGGCAAGCAGCAGTTTTTTGTGGAACGTGATCGCGAATCACGGGATCGGTTCCTGAACGGACAAGTGGGCAAGGCTAAAGTGGCTGCTGCTGAACTTCGTGCTGCGCAAGCAAATAACG